CGCTATGATCTGATCTAGAGTGAAGGTATCCCTTGTAGTTCTGTCCTTCAGTTTCTGGGTTTTGAACCTGAATTGTGGTCTGTATTCGGTTGTTTCGAGGGATTTCAGCTTCACGTTGAAGGTTATCTGAACTACATGATGGTCTGAGCCTACATCTGCTCCACTTTTCAACTTCGTATCCAGCAGACTAGCTGCGTCTCCGCTTTCCTAAGCAGCATTGAGATGAAATTTATCTGGTTTGTAGTGTGTCTGTCAGGCAGAATCCATGTTGCTTCGTGTATATACTTGTGTTTGTACACTATGCCTTTGAATACCAAACCACTGAATGAGCAGACCTCAAAGAAGTGTTCTCGATTGTCATTCATTTTGCTAGGAGGCTCTAGGACCATGGCGCGTTCTCTTTATGTTTTTATTTCCTCCAAGTCAACTGGCATTCATATCGCCTATGAGAATTTTGAAGTCACCATTTGGGTTGTTGTCTACTACCCTTTGCAGTTGCCTATAGAAATCTTCCTTCCCTTGTTACGCGTTGTTTGTGGAACTATGCGTAGCAATGGATATTTGTTACCTTCCTTCTTTCCTTTTGAGTTGAATCTTGCTGTTGTGATTCTGGATGAAATTCGTTCCCACTGTATCAGAGTTTTAGCTGCCATTGGTGACATCATGATAGCCACCGGAGTAGATTACTGAATCTCCAGTTGACATTTGGGATAATCCACATCCATTTCATCTGCTCTCATAGATATCCAACACTTTTAGGCCATGTCTTCACATTTCTTTGGCTACCTGGGCAGTCTTCACAGTCTGGTACATTGTACGTACATTTTCCGTTGCCATTCGCATTCTTGCTTTAATCGAGAGAAGAATAATGCAAAGAAGGAGGACACATCGGCTGGCTGACTGGCTTCCTGAGGGCTTTCACCAGCCAGCTCGCCTTGTTACTTCGCCTCTCCGATTCCAGCGTAGAATATGACTGTTATTTGGATTTTTTGTAATTTTAATGTATTTTGTGTGCATTGAAGTTTCTCTAGCCATTTGATAGATTTGATAGTGTAGGGTTGCTAGCTTCACGCCCAACTCTCCATGTTTATCCTGGCTTGGGACAGGTTTGAAAACTTGGAAGCTAGTTTACTAGACGAGGATTGTTTATGCAGCAGGACAGGTTTAATCGGTTTATATATTTTCTAACTGGGCATAAAGGAAGGACAGTTAGCTATAGATTACAAAGAGATGTTGTATTATCCGAGTTTGCAGAAGGTGAATGTATTAGAATAACAAAATGACAGAAAAATGAGAAAAAAGTTTACTGAGGTTTTATTAATTATTGAATAGTCGTCGAAAATTCAATAAACTCATCTGTAGACGTCATTAAGTTTGATCTTCAGGCATATATAAATACCTTTCTTCATTTCATAATTTCTGGAAGCCATATCATACCTTCTGATGTGAAGTAACCCGGATTCACTGAAAACATGTTTAATTTGATTGTATGTAACATTTAACCAGCAGCAAAGCATGTATGATGCACTTTGAACCACTAAAGATTTTTCTATAAATGACTTCATTAGACCAAGCTGTGTAGTTTATTTTAAACTAAACATTTCCGGTATTCCGGTTCTGTATTATCAGTTAAGTAGTACTGTACACCAAATGTTAATTGAGGAAACCATAATTATGAGCTACGGCATCAGTCAATTCAATATATATATATATATATATCCTGCAATACTTCCATTCTCCAAGGGAAAAGGCTAAGTCACTGACCACTGAGACAATTGTGTCATCTACATACATTTAAGAATTTGTAGGTAGTATAATTTAGAAGGTTTTATTAGCATAATACAATAAGTGAGGAGAAAATAAGCACATATCAATTGTGAAATTATGCGCTTGTTGATTTCAGTCACAAGCTTTAACATAAACACAGTAGAAATAGTCAGAAAAGTATTTAAATTATCAAAACTTTCTGCATTCAACGCAATAAAATTGGCAAATAATGAATTATCAGGCATGAGCAGATTTCAGCCTATCTGTAGAATAATAAGAATATTAAAAGAGATTAAACTATTGTAGAGGACGAATAGTTGGCGAAACCGACTACTTTAATATAAATGAAGTTTGTTAGTATTCAGTCAGTATGCATCATCACTATCCAGGTGGGGTGAAAACAGTATGTGTTCGAAGCAAAAGGTTAAAATATCTTGAGTGATGACTCGATAAGCCTTCAAAGTATCATACATGAAATCACCATTATTACGGTATTCATTAATTTCCATATATATATACGCTCCTAAATGCTAAAACGCCATCATAATTTTCCCATGACTTCAGAAACCCTTTATTTCCAATATCAAGGAATATCTACGGCCAACCTACGAGAAGATCACATATTCTGATCTGAATATTTTCGGTTTCCAACGAAAATACTGTCGGAATTTCTACTCTGAACTACATACATAATTTGAAAATTGAGTATTCGATTCTGTGTACTACCAGTGTGCCTAAGTAGCAGCCTAGGCGTGGAACGAGCAAATTGGTAGTGCGGGGTGTAGATCATTTCAATTTGACAGGCGAGTACCGCTGATTTGTATGTGCGGTTTCTAAATACCCCGTATCAGTCAATAGTATTTACTACAGTACAATCATGCTAGCTTTCTCAATTATTGTTTGTGGTGAAAAGCAGCGGTCTCCTAAGTAAACTATGGCGTGTTTTCACTTCATACTGTGTAATTTGAAAATCGCCAACTTGATTCAGTTATTCACCAAAACAAATTTCTTTTCTATCCACAACTAACCATCGATTTTTTTGCTTTCTGAATTTATAGGGAGCATGAGACAGAAATAACTAAGAAGTAATGCTATTACAATATAAATTCCAACATACTATAACCATCCAGAAGTAGAACAAAAGAATACTTTTCAGTACTCTTAACTTTTATTATTGATTCCTTCTGGGTCATCCATAGAATTTTTGTCATTCTTTATGTCATTGAGTGAAAGTATGTCTGTTTTCATACATATTGTTTTGTTTTTTATTCTTTGTAGCTGTTAATATTATTATTATTGTACGTATTTAGTAAAACAAGATGACAGTGAATAGACTGACTGATTTAGCGTCATCATGAATAGTGTCATGATTTTACGCAACTTGTATTTTTTAAAGAATCTAATACAGTAACATTTGCCAATAGTTTAAAAACTGCATAGAATACTACATATTTTGAATTATCGTTGAATGTGAAGTATGGCGTTGAAGTACAAGATATTGGGGAAAATGAAATCATTAGTAACTATAGATTTAAAAAGTAATCAAGACCACATAAAAATGAGAGATTATGACAGCTCCCTATTTCACAAAGAGATCAATCTAAAACTGATGAATTACTGACATTCGATCATTAGACGATTCACTGGATTCCGCACCTTTCAATACAGGCTGTATTGAAAGATCAAGAAGACGGGGTTCAGTTTTGATCGACATTCATTCTTATTTTAATGCTGTCATTATTTATACGAGCTTGACCACTGGTTGATATCAGTGAAACAACCGTCGAAAACGAGGGAGTACTGGACAGCTGTTTCATCCTAGTTTGGTAATCATTGACAGTACGCACCCACTGAGGTTCGAACCCAGGTTATGATTGGAATGTAGCGCTTCAGCAGCACATCCCTATTTCATTCTGTTTTGAACAGTCTTTATTATATGGCTCCACGATTATCTGTAATCTTTTGTTTCGCCTTCACACGATCTCCTCCATGTTACTCTGGAACGTTCAACTTGTCGTTTTCTCTTGTGGTTCTACGTGGCTCCTGACGTCCCTCAGTGTATGTTGAATCCGTTTCCATAAATGTTAGTTGCTTTCTGTTGTAATGAAGATGTTACAAGATATACAATTCCTTTCACCTCAACAGTTTTGAAGAACACTATTGTAAAAGAGGACTTGCAACATGCTGGAAAGTCTTTGTAGCAACCGAAAATCCATGAAAAAGTGTTTCTTTTCTATCAGATGTTTTTCAGTATTAATAAACCATATTTTCGACTATCCTCTATTTTGAAACAATAAACACACAGTTGTAAAACAGTGTAATGAATGATCTTACCAGAGATGTATTTCTCTAACACTGGCATAGAATTACTCCATATAGAGTTTGTTCATTTACTGAAAACTTCGAAATTATAATTCACTGGTGAGACTTGAACGCATATACTTCATCTACATGGAATAAGGTTGATTAACTCACTAATACATTTTACTGTTAAGTACTAAAAAGGATTTAACTTAGGTCCAAAGTCTCCTGCCTCCTCCGGAACACTGTAATAGCAGGTCACTTAGTTTGGTAGTAACCTTGAAAAAATTGACTGACTGAATTCAGTCAATACCAAAACAAAGGAATGGAAACAAGACATTGACTATTTACCAGTGACCATTCAATATATACATTATTATTTATTGGCATATATATATATATATTAGTTCTATTTACGTGAATAGACTTCACCTTCAGGATGTATAAATTCACAGATTATATATTTTATAGTGACAGTGAAAAGCCAATGAGAAACGTCCATCTATTGTTTAAATTACTTTGATTTGACTTAATGTTTTCTGTTTTAATTTGTTACTTAATGAAGCCACATTGCACAATAACTGAGTTCACATTTAATCAGGCAGCTAGTTTACCATGGAACTTAATATTCTTATATTTAGTCTAGCAAGTAATTCGAGCATTTATTACTACTAAAAAATGTATCAAAGTGTAAACGAATGACTTTGGACACTTCTTATGTGATAGTTGAATTACTGTAAATACTACATTTACTTTATAAAAAAAAGTAGGGCTAATTACTGAATAATTCAGATCTTAAATAAGTCATAGAGATAATATTTCTACAATTTTTGTTTTTAATTGATTAGCTAGTTATTGAAATGCCATTTAGTTTACGTTTAGTACACGTGCACTCTTAGTCTCACATGCACATATATATATAAGTATAATCTGAATAACTTATGATCACACGTAAATACGGGTGCGCCAATCTTTTAGCTTATAGATTATTAAAACTATCAAGAGATGACAAAAGAAAACCGAAAACTGTAAACTCTGGAATCTTTCTGTCTGGAGCATAAATATATAAATATATGTATATATATAGGTTTTTCAAATAAATTTTGAAGTTAACACAAACTGGTCAACTTAACTACTAGTCTCGAAGTTCTACTCAACTGAATAAAGAAACTGAAAGGCTGGTGTAACTGTAACAAACAGGAAGAATATTTAACAGAGTATTATGGAGAAATTTATTGAAATATTTTTAATACTTGACACTAATAAAAATGGTGTAATTGAGAAGAATGAATTGATACGATACTGTAAAAAAGAAGATCTTGATATGCGTATGGTGGATGTAAGTTATTCTCCTCTTAAATTATTTTTTTTTAATTAGTTTACCAAAAATAGCCTTTTATATACTTAAAGGTTGACTGGTGTAATTTCCTCATAGGGTAGAGCAATTAGCTAACTTTAAAGGGAAATACATTTGTACTGGAAAAGTATGCAAGCGTTTTTAAGTAGTTAGTCTTTTCCATTTAAGTTTAATTTTAACAAGAACAAGAGATTAGGAAACAAATTTTGAAAGGTTGTTGAAACCAACCTATGTTTAGTAAAAGAGACTATTAAAAAGGAAGGTACAATCAATCTAATTGGTTCAACGCCTACTCACTTAATTATTATCATTATTCCTTTGGGCTTAAACAAGACATCTCCATTTTGCTCCATTTTCTGCCGTCCTATCCAGCTGTGTCCACGACTGCCCATAATCTCCCGTCTCTTTTTCCTGAAATGATCTCCTCCATGTCACCCTTGGACGACCTACTAGTCGCTTCTCATTGGAATTCCACTTAGAACCATCTTTTTGAAACTAGTAGCTATTCTTTGAACGTGAAATTACGGGATAATATGCGACTTAGTATACGATTTCAAAATATCTATTGCCATTGGCTTACGCCTTAGGAAAAGCAATTTATATCAAATTACACATGCCTATTATATGTCTAATGCTTGTTACAATATTTATGGCTTAGTGTGATTTTACGTTTTAAAAAGAATTCATCGATAATGTGAAAGGAAGATATGCATGAAAATGTGTGATAGATTAATATTATTTACTTATACTTTCAGTTTAATGTTCAATAGAATATATAGTTTAAGTGATTTAAAGCGGTCGACAATAAGCTCCTCACAGTGTGTATGCCTATTCCATCCATTAAGCATTAAAACATCATTGAGTATTTTTAAATCGTAGATAGTAATACAGATATCAGTAAATTGTTTGAATCCATTCCACTTGTATAGGTTACCATTTTTCTTCGTTACATTCTTTAACCATGATTAACATATTTCTTTTCCAGTTTACACTTGGATAATAATAATAACATTATGTATTACTAGTACTTAAGGATTGTCTTTGCCTCATTTTAGAATTCGATGAATACATTAGGTTGACATTTGTGAAATTATGGTCATTTACGTTCTTTATGCGGACTGATTACTTGGGGCAAATTATATTTTCCAGATTTTGAATAAGACTGACCGAAGTAAACACAATATTAGCAGTAGAACATAAGAAATGACTGCATGGAAGTTTTGAGATCTCATAGGTTCATGTATCTGATATGAGTTGAGGTTTTTTTGAGTGCTAAGACTTCCTATATTAACAACTGATTTTAATAAATCCAATGCTAAACTAGATATATTTATTCTAGCTGGTAAACAGATGTTTAGCTTTATTCAGTGATACAATCTGAATCACAGGATGGACTAATCCAGTATCCATGGTGAGTAAACTAAAAGGATACTGTGAATGTTTCCATGGGCGTTTCAAATACACTATTTTGACCCACTAAAAGCGTTAGACTTCATTCGTCGAAAAATACGTAGATTATCTTGTTTAAGTGAGTAGTATTTCGTTAATATTTAGTATTGTTTTCCCCATACTTTCGATTTTTGCAAAGAACAGAGGCAACAACTAAGAATGCAAATTTAAAATTCGGAATTTTTGATTTTTAACCATTCGAAGTGAAATGGAGTCAAGAGGTAATAGGGAAAATCTTCAAGTTCGTATTTTATTTTTTGTGCTAAAAGTTTAGGTTTCTTTTGATTTTCTCCTTCCGTGGATTTCAGGTTTGACTGCAGTTTCAGTTCTAGGAAGACAATTAGTATGAGAAATCCTACCCTGTTAGAACGTTATAGGCTTAAGTTTCCGCTAGGGAGGCAAGACATATCTATACTGTTAAATACGTATTCTCCATTCAACATTCAAATCCGCTTAACGCATCAAAGAGATGAAATTAATCGAGATTCACAAATTGAATTTAAACAGTTACATCAATATGTATCCAAAACCTCGATGTGTTTTAACAACGCCAGTTATCAATGAATAAAGTGAATATGTTGTTGTTGTTTAGTGTGAAGCTTTCGCTTATCATGCAATCCTGTCTCTTTGAGTCTACACAAAGATTTATCTGTTTAGTCTGGTAATATGAACAGTTTATTGAACACCTTTACACCCTAAAAGAACGTACTGAGAGGAAACTTAATAAATTAATTTTCATTTTGATCCATACATCTTAAAGCCAAATGGTTTTCAACTGTGATACGTGTTAACAACTCCAATTTTTTTCGGAAGAATTTTGACTTTAAAATGAACATGTTTTTATCTTTCACCTAGGAAACTTTGAAAAGATTCGATACAGATGCAGATGATAAAATTACTTTCTTAGAATTTTGCCAGGGACTTGGTCTAAATCCTCAAGAAATGTAAGTTTTTTTTTATTATGATGTTGTATTTCACAGTAAACTTTCATTTTCCTTTGAGTAATTAAATTGAGCAGCTTAAAAATAGACATTTTGGCAGACACTATTCGGTATAAAACAAAGGAATCTAACTGATGACATCATTTGACACGTTGGCACGTTCACAACAGACAGCTTCAGTTTCTTAAAATAAAACTTGTCATCCTGGCTACCAACAAAACAGTCATTTCAGATAATGAGACGTTATAATTGGATGAACAGATTATGTTTAGGTTAAACGAAAGTTTTTTTAGATGTATCAATGTAATCTTCTGCCTACTATTTATGTTCTACTCTACATAACATGTATTAAAAAAAAAACAGTCAGCGGAATAATGCTTATACTGATTTGTTTTAAACCTTTGTTTCTGTAAAAACGAAATTCTTGATTGACAAGTTCTGTCTGGTATCATATCTAGTTACGACAAGCAATAAAACGTAGGACATGTATCGTTTTCAACGTATAGCACATTATTATTATTATTATTTAGCTGAGTATATTGTACTTACAGATCTAAGCATCTCAGTTTCATCTATTACAGTACTAAATAATGCCTGAATAATAGATCGATAATCACCAGGAGGAAAACTGACACAACTCACTAATAACCGATTGGCTTTAATTTGACTATGTTTTCTCTTCAAAGATCTTTTGATTGACATTTCTGTGTAGTTTTGCATTCTACTAGTCATGTATTATATTTTATGTTATCAAAATCAGGATTAATCAATATAATCGTAAAAGTTAAAAAGTTAAGAGATGTATGTCTTCAGTGAATTTAAATGTTGTCATGCCTCTAGCTTGGAACTACTGTATATAAGCTAGTGGTTCATAAGTATCCAGATGCATGGAAATTTGTGGTTCTATGTGGACCAAGCTAATAAAGAGTGAAAAACATCATATACAGCATTAATCACAAAATCTACAATTATTTTACATTTTCTATATTTTTAAATCAACAAAACTAAACAATCTAGTCAGAGTAAATTTCAAGTAAATATTAAGTAGGTGAATTCGAAAATAAAGTCGTCTTGTTGATGTACCGCAAAGTATTTGTCACTACTGGTGTAGCTATGGGCACTCCACTTAGCCCTGTTTTAGCAGATATATTCATGTCCAACCTTGAAAGAACAAAGTTGAAGCATGCAATCGACGAAACAACTTCCTACTGTCGATATGTTGATGACACATTTATAGTGTGCAACAATGAAAGTCATGCTTCACACTTACTCAGATTATTCAATGATGCACATACCAATATTGAGTTTACTATGGAACATGAAAGCGACGGAAAGTTTCACTTCCTCAACATTGCCATGGAACGCCTAGAAGACGGTAGTCTTCAAAAGTCAATTCACCAAAAGTCCACATGGAAATGACAATACTCACATTTTAATAGCTTTTGTCCAAATAGCTTTAAACGCGGTCTAGTCAGGACTCTGTACTATAGAGCGTGGAGAATATGCTCTATAGAGAAATTAGAGGAAGAATTTGAGTTTCTTGAAAAGACATTAAAGAGCACTGAGTACCCTCAAAGGTTCATCAACAAGTATGGAAGATCTGAAGTCACAAATGTAAAACGAATCACAGTAGGAAGAAAGCCAGTCTACTTTCAGCTTGATTATAAAGATGGAAACATTACAGTGATGATCAACAGAAGGCTGAGCACATCACTAGCCATAGCCTATCCTGCAGCTAAGCTCGTTCCCGTCTATTGAACAACTTGCTCTTTGGTGCAATCAAAAATCGATAGATATCCTTCTCATGTGAACTCCAACTGCATATACAAATTTACATGTATCTGCGGAAGCAGTTACATTGGAACAACAGAAAGAAGGGCATATCTACGATTTTCTGAACATGTACCAAAAAATTCTTTAAACAGTGCCATCGCCAGGCATCTCCTCGATACGGGTCATGAGGTGGAAATCGAGAAATCCTTTAGAATTATCAACAGACAAAGGAGCTCCATTCTCCTCAAGTTTGCCGAAACAATTTCTATCAAACCAGATTTATGTGTTCACAGAGAAGCAGTTATTAGTCTTTCCTTGCCATGGTAACTGGATGTCTTTATTCTCTACTCTGATTACGAAATCTTTGTCTTTAACCTCACCCCTCTTTTTTATAATATGTAATATTGCTTGTCTCTTGTTTCTATGACGTGATTTGAAATCAGTACATCGTTACCAAATTTATTAGTTACTCATCATCTTACTCACCTCTCGTTTTTATCACGTAACTCCTTTACCATTGTATGCATACATTTATTTTGACTTGAACTACCTGTGTAAAAACTATATAAGCACAATTTTCTGAGCACTGTTCACTAATTGTGGAAATTTCTGTCAACTGACAACATGTAAAATTTGCAAGTATGTTAAAACTTTTCTGTACGTAAGCCTCACAATTTATTTAGGCTGTAAGCAGCTGATGAGAAGCCGACGAAATAAATGATGGTACCATATTATTCTGCACAAACCACTGTTGTTCTTGCTTTATTTAAACTAATCAAGGGGAATAAATCCAGGAAGAACATATATATGCTTGAATGTGTCTGCATAGAACAATTCTCCTTAATGGGATAAAAAACCTAACAGAGAATATCAAGCACTTTCACTGACTGCTTCCGTCAAATAAAGTTCGGGTTACTTTTGTGCTTATTTTTCAAATATCGCAAATAGTTGTCCCCTTCTGATATGTTAAAAATTTTTTTGTTTTTTCTCACTTTAGGGCAAGAGAAAAGAAGGAGAGAGAAATGATGGCAGACGGTAAAGCTCCTAAAATAGACCCAGACATCGAGATCCTAAACAGTTCAATGACAGTACAAAAGCAGTATGAAATAACAAGGAAATTTAAAGAAATATTAAAAGCTAAATACACAGATGAAAAGTCTATAAGTACAATAGCTAATGATGTCAAAAAGTATTTAGATCAGAAATATGGTGGATTATGGCAAGTTTTTATCATTGATGGATCGTTTTGGTCGAATTTCAGTCATGAACCTTTCCTGTCTATACAATTCAAGTATGAAAATTATCGTTGTGTATTCTGGAGGAATCCAGCTGAATAAATATCAACAGGCATACAGTGTTGATATATTTCGTTGAAGAAATATGAAAATAGCTGTGCTCCTGTTCAGTTAAATAAGGGATACACAAAATACAATTTTTCTCTGGTCACGTGATATTATGTAATATATTAATGGTAACATATCTAATAAATGAGTAAAATGTATAAAGAATCAGTGTCCTATCTATCACAATTACAAATTTTGCTGCTGTTAGATTGTGTCTTTTCCTCGCTTATACCACAAAACGTAAAGAAGATAACCTGTGCATTCCATCACTGGAGACATGAGCATTATGTCAGCGATGACGCAATCATACTGCTGATTTCTAGGTTTAGTATTAACACATCCGCGATTACTTCTCACCCCCCAAAACCCACGAAAATAGGACAGAGGACAGACTAGTCTATGTAGGTAGAAATAATTCAACTTATTATATAAAAATACATCAAATATAAATAATTAGAACATAGGGAAGTTGAGGCAACAAGTAGCCAATTGTATCGGTCTCATAATATTGGGATTCTTGGCTTCCCAATCGCATTATACTGAATATTTTACTTTGGCTCAATGGTTCAATTTATTCATAAAGGTTTAAGGGTGTTTTTAGCTGTCTTTGGACTATTTCAACTAGTTCTAACCGCTTCCGACGCATTAGTATAAACATACGATTAAGACAGTGCAAAACGTCTACTGTTTTATTGAACACATGTATTGCAATTTGATCATTAAGTAATTGCAAGTGATTGTAAACCATAATATGAATGCTTTACAGTCGTAAAGAAAGTGTAGCCCAAAAAATAAGGAATGTATATCCTAATAAAAGATTCAGTGCTTCTAATTCGCAAGAGGAGCTTATCATAGATTTCTGTGTATTTTTCATATTAGCTCCTTGAAATACTTATAACTTTACTACTTCTGATAACTTATTCGAAGTGATGGAAACCATTTTTCGAACTCCATCTAGACTTCTAAACCTTTACATTGGAAAATTATATCACCAATGTACTTTAAAATATTGTAATCCCGTAATTCAATGTCACTTTCGATGGTTTCCTTAGGTATACCTAAGATGTTACAAAAATAAGTAGTCGGTAAAATGCATCAACTGATGCTAATTTAATTCACTATCAAAAAGGAAACAGGCCTTCTAAATGAGAGATAATTTCAGCTGAACTGAACTCTCCTTTTAAAGCATAAGGTTGTAACAACAGAAGACAAGGGCCAGGCAACAGATCGTTTATTAAGGAAAATCAACACATATTTATAGATTTTAATGTACATTATTGTAGATTATTGTTAGTAGAAAATACAGTCTTTTGATTGACTGTTTCTCACAGACAGTTAACCTTGCATCTGTTTGTGGCTGTTTCAGATCACCCATATACTAACTGTATCCGCCTACGCAAAGCCTTTGTTCTCATTTTCTCACCACCGATATTGGGGACATAAACATTGACGTAAATAACTGTCTACCAACTTTGGCTAGCAGCCAGCTCTCACCACCAGGTTAGCTCATTGAATTTAATATATTAATGCATTCAGTAAACTAAGTGGAGAATTGCACAGCTTGCCTTTTGAAGAAAAGAATGTAGAATTTCGAAGATGGGGAATGGCACAACTACTCAAGAAACGTGAGAAGAAGAACTTTCATCATAAAATCATCTCCCACTTCTAAAGTATTTTACCAATGAAAATGTAGTCCATAATGACAGAGAAAATATGTAGTTTGCCCTAAAATATACGGACTGTTATGCCTCTTAAATAATCAGAGGGAATGAATCAAATTCTTGGTTTGCTAATCAAGTTGTGATTCGCGACTTACACAATTCCTTTGAAAATCTAAATTATTCAGATCACAATATGTGTGATCTGCTTGATGACATGAATGGCAGTCAAGAAAGTAAGCATAAATGCATCATGATATATATCACTGATTTATTGATATGGCTTGTTGGGCCCCCTTTTTCATCATCCAGTATTGTTCGCTAACCAGACTGGAGTGATTTAGAACAAGATATATAAGCGAACAATATTGTTTTCAATTAAATCTTCAGGCTTTACTCTAATTTACATAGATTTATATTTAGATAAAGCAATAAGAAGACGTAATTTGTCTGAATCGTGTAATGTATTTGCTTTACACATTTCGAACAATCTGATCACACACGGACTTGTCATAGGAATATATATGAAATTAATAAAGAGGTAAGAGGTGAGAAATTTCATATATATTCCTATGACAAGTCCGTGTGTGATCAGATTGTCGAAATGTGTTGCACAAATACATTACACGATTCAGAAAAATTATGTCTTCTTATTACTTTATCTAAATTCATAAAGGGAACTAATTGTTTTAAATAGATTTATATATAAAAATTTTTTAACCAATGACGGTGATTTTGTGGATCAAATGATAACAATGATGTGGGAGATGTTTTGAACGTAGTTAATAACGATGATTATAATGATAACCAAATATTGATTATAAGTTTTATTCAGGTGGCGATAAGAATAACAAAGGTAGTAATATGCGTATATGTCAACAACTCAATGAATAAATTAGGTCAAATCTTGAAAGTTACGTAATACTAAAGGTGAAGTGGACAGATAATCAAAGTTTAAATAAATATCATAAAAGTACGAAGGAGATGGAAAATAATAAATGGGTGGGAGGGTTTTGAATAGAATTCACCTAAGCCAAGGGAGAGACAAAGGTAGAACAAACTTCTTTTGTATGCAAAGAATTCCCATAGCTTCGGTTATGTGTAAAAGATTGGTTCGAATTCTGTTCGAAAGGCTCGATGGAATGCGATAGATAACTTTGAAGGCATTATTTTTGTCCACTTGGTAACCGCTATCAATCAAATGAGCCAAAATAGAACTTCTTATAGATTTCATTTGACCTTTACCGAACCATGAAGGAAGATGTTCATTAATGCGTTTGTTAAGCTGTCTAGTTGTTCACCCTATATAGCTCTCTCCACAGGAGCAACTAAATTTGTAGATACACACAGAAGTGACACAGCTAGGTAGCTTGTCTTTCACTTGAGCAATCATAATTGGTCGGCTAGAAAATGACAAACAAAAGGTGGCGGCAGTATAAGTCCGTTTTATCGCTCTCGATAATCTCAGATGTAGGACTTCGCTAGCCACGTCCCCATTAAATTTCAATTGCATGAACAGCTGTTTCTTTTCAACTGTTGTCAGTTTTTCTTTACACACACATTATACACATATCACTACCTTTGTTATTCTTATCGCCACCTGCATAAACCTAATTATCAATATTCCGTTATCATTATAATCATCGTTATTAACTAAGTTCAAAACATTTACCACATTATTATTATTTGATCTACAAAATCACCGTCATTGGTTAAAAATTTTCATTTATAAATCTATGTAAATTAGAGTAAAGCCTGAAGATCTCATTGAAAACAATATTGTTCGCTTATATCTCTTGTTCTAATATTAAAAATGGAAATATTTAAAGATTTGAATTGATTTAAACACTAAACGGCTGATCACGATATATGATATGGATACTTTCCGTTTCCAAAGGAAACTATGAAGGAATTTCATCTCAAACCGCATAAACTGTTAGTCGGAAACTAATTTTCAAATCTCAAATTTGTTTTAGTGTATTACCAGTTAGCTTGAGTAGGTAACCAGAATCCAGCCAGTTTGAAATGATTCGGCTCTCAAAGTTGGGTCGAAACGGGTACACCGTCAGTTACCTCGACCCCAAACTCGAGAAATGGCATTCCGTTGTTAGATCCCTTTTTATGTAGTTAGCCCGCACAACTAGTTTATATGAGTAGCATGTAACTACTTGTAACAATCTATCAGTAGTATACCTCGGTAAGAAGAAATAAGGTTGCACAAAATGTTATTCTTTTCGCTAACATTTAAACAAATCTTAATAATGTTAGTGTTTCATAGAACAGAATTAAAATAATTTGTTGCAAGAAGGAATTGCAGTGTTGTTGTTTAGGTAGCTTCAAGTTGTTTTGTTTTCTCCCGTTATTTGCTTTTGAACTTGTCATGGTCTTTGCCATTAGAAACTTTAAACTGCCCGAATATCTGTGCAAATATGTACGTGTTTACATTCACCTTTTCAGAAACATTTTCCCCGTGAACCAATATGAATGAATGTACCTTCAATTTTGGATTTTTCAAAAATTTCATTTTGATTTTCAACCATTAAAACATCCCTGAAGTTTGAACATCTTACATTTCTTCTTTTATGAATTCTGTACTGTTTTTTGTTTTTTGATAACACAATATGCGACGAGTGGGTGTATGACTAAGCTATTAGAAATATGCTGTACTGTCTAGGAATACCGCATTCTTTCATGAAATACTCAATTGAGGAGACTGATTGGTAAACAAAAAAAAATCTGATAAGTACATTACTACGGTTACCAAAAAGTGAGGTATTTGTGATCGCTTAATTTTGTGGTATACATTTAAGTGTTAATCAAGTAAATGTAATGAGCAGACTATTTGGAAAATCTCTCCTGAACGATCTGTTTATAATGTTTATATTTATTTGGACATTTCAAATAAATTTGTAATTAGTGTACTTATTTCCTCTAGACTGCGCATCATTAATTCGACATTTGCACACAATATATTGATTTTTGATCTTTATTATTTGCCTCTGTGCTTGTTTAATCCTTAACTGTAATACTTGTTTGTGGTTGTGTTTACATTGATAGTGTGTAGTTTAACAATATAAGTTTGTTTTGAAGGGCATTCTGACCTGGGAAGCATTGGTGCGTAATTCTTGTAGACAGAGGTCTTGATCCCAACTTGATGAGAGTATTCTCCCTGATTCTAAGGTACCTTTTCCACTTGAACTTTGATCAGTTTTGTCTTACAGTACTTCCTTTGTTTTTAGAAAAATACACTGCCTGTGTAGCTGCCCCATGGCACTGCTGAGGTGATTTTGAGTTTGATGTCATTGGTGTTTAACAGAACCTCTAAAATATTGGAGAAAAATTGTCTTTTTCCTGCCTTTGGGACGTTTCGTGATAGAGCATGTCTCAGCAAAGTTTTGTCGGCTATACAGTAAAACGTAGAGACCAGTTTCTTGCGTTCAGACGATAACTGAATATATTTTTTCGCTACAACAACACTTTGAAGATTTTAATGATTTGCTTTTATTTAACATTTTATCTCTTAAGAAAAACGCAAATTCTGATTATTAAAATATAAAATGTGAACACCTTGGTAGTGTTCTACAATGATTTGTTTTTTGCATGCATCATGCACTGAAA